GCATCGGGACGTTTACAACAACTCGCACAAATACATGACAGACCACATATATTGAGATCATACCAACAATATACTCCAGCATGTCTGGATCAATATCTGCGTCGTCAGGGACTGACGAGTTTACTGCGTTGCGCAGTAGCTCTTCATCTATTGCACCCATTGCTGCTGAGTCAGTGGATGAAGTGGGTTGCTGTGGCTGATACTGATTGAGATGATAACAGTGTCTTCTTAAAGCGTGTACTTACTACTAAAAGAGTTGTCACGTGTATACTTATTAGTCCTGCTGGGCGAAGCGTGTCTGTATCTGTGGATGTGTGTACGACAGTACACGATAAGTGCTATTTAAATGTATGTACATATATGAACATCATGATAGTAAATTCATAAAAGGGAGCCGTCTGGCATCAGCAGGATTGATTCACATCAATCTTTTTCCGTCGCATACCATGTCGTAAACTACATACTCTGTGGAACGAGTTGACAATTTAAAATAAGCCAATTATTTACGACATGCGCTCATTACTTTTTGACCCACGCGAATCGTGGCTCACAGGAAGTGGTCAACACACAGACTGCTATTTATTAATTTATCTCGGCAATCTCGTACTATAGGTACAGCTATATTGTATATATCTAAATACATAATATATATACATATATATAAGTATATATATATATATATATATATATATAAATATATATATATATATATATATATACATATATATGTATATATCTGTGTATATGTATATACATCGGTACTAGTGTTGGAATACCTAGCCCTAACACCCATAAGTCAAGTCACCCCCACAAGCATACAAGCACACCACTAACACCATGTCTGAGTCCATTATTCAAGACCTGCTCCACTATGTGGACAAATCAACCGAAAACAGCATCGCTGTTGCAGACATTGCAAAAGGACTGAACGTTGAACAGACTGTGGTCGAGAGCGCAATTAAGCGAATGGGAGCTGTGCACCCGGGTATGTTGGAGTGTGCTGGTATCGCATGTGCGTCTCGTGTTTTTTTTTGATAGAATTGTTGTGTTGTACATATAGGTATACATACTACATATATATATATATGTGTGTGTGTGTGGGTGTGTGTGTTTATCTATACTAAATGTGCATATATATATATAATCATTTATATATATATACATATATATATATGTATGTAAATGTATATGTATGCAAATATACTATATATATATATATATATATATATATGTATGTATATATATATATATATGTATATATATATAATGTGTGCGTGTGTGTGTTTGTGAGTATATTCATATTTGTCGGGGAGCGGAAAGAGGGGTGGCGTGTGGTGTATGTGTATCTATATCATGTCGTTTGTATACATACTTTAGGTTTTTAATATATATATATGTATATATATACATATCGATACCTTATGTGTTTCATATTGCATTAGTGGTGAAGAAGCACGCCACCTGGCGGGTTACAGCCTTACATTGTGCTATTTCCCAACAGCACGATGTTTACTTCATATTTTACTTTATTATCAACCTTCTCGCACCCAAATTGAGATTGTATGGCTTGCTTTGGACCCAATATTTAGTAGTAGCTCTACGTCTATGCATGCAATGGCTGTGAAGATATACGTTATATAGCATTGACAATTGCGCATATAAGAACTTGCAGACGTGAGATGTCGTTTACATCCTGTATTAATACGTATAGAGTACAGGTATTCTAATATGTAGCCCAGATCAAATACTGAGTGTTTGTATATTTCATATCAACGAGGCTGTTGTGCAATATCGATCACATGTACGCCATATATATTGTATTGTATTGTATTGTATTGTATCATGTGTAACGTATATATGTATGTTTGTATGAATGGCACATTATCTTTGAGTTCTACTATCATATTCCATTAACAACCTAACATCGTACGTAGTCTGTGTAGTCACGTCCTTTCCGCATCTATCAAGTTTCAAGCTTTACAGTGTCGTATGCTATTCTCTCCAACAGGTTACATCGTAGCATCCAGCACGTCACACTCCGAGACTCATCTGACTGGAGAGGGCTCGTACATGGCTGACAACGGCAGTCACGAGGCAGTTGTGTACAACACCATTCCCGAGGGGGACGCAGGCATGCCGCAGAAGGAGCTGCTGGTATGTATATGTGTGTGGTTGGATGGGGTGGGTGTATGTAGGTACGTGTGTGAATGACTGTATGGGTAGGTATAATGTGGGTATGTGGGCATATGCATATATGTGTGGGTGCGTATTTGTATATGTATATATATATATACTTGTGGGTATGTACGTGTATATGAATATATGTGTGTGTATGTATCTGTATACGTATATATATATGTGTGTGCGCGTCTATGAGGTGTATATATGTTTATATAGCGAGTATGTACGGGCTGGTGGCAGGTTCTACTTGGCTTAAAATCTTGTATTGTTAGTTATATAGGCATATAGCTCCATTGCTATCACGTCCCTATACCTACACACACCCATAAAGACAATCACACTCACACGTGCATACCTACCTACACACACACACCACAGGCTATGGGACCCAACTACAAAGTAGGTATAAATAAAGCACTCGCCGCCAAATGGGTGGCGATGGATAAGAAAGCCGAGGGTGGGCCAGCTATTAAACGCGCAGTGGCAACGATAACAGACATCACACGACACAATCTGAAACTCATCAGAGACGGCAAGAGCGTCTCAGAGACTGTGCTCAAGGACCTCAAGAAGCGCAAGGCCGTCCGGACTGTGTATGTGTGTGGGGAGAGTATATATGTGTGTGTGTGTGTGTGATACATGTGTGAGATATACATGTGTATGCATGCGTGTGTGTGTGGAGAGTATATACATGTAAATATATATATGTGTGTGTGTGTAAAAGATACATGTGTGAGATATACACGTGTGTATGCATGTGTGTGCGAGATTTTATGTATGTCTGTAGTGCGTGTGTATATTCTTAGTATGTCTGTTCTTCTTACTAAATCGCCGATAACTGAGTTTAAGACTGTTCAACGGTAACAAATTCAGTGACATGGTATTGACATGAAATAGTCTATTGATAGCTGAGTGTAATGTTGGTTAGTGATATGTTAATGATATTAAGTTGTTTGAGAATTAGTTTAGCCCGTAATTAACCCGTGGTCAATATCAAACTTTTCCATCGCATGCATTTTACGACAACTCTGTCGGCACGCTCTGTCGCAAATCCTTCCGTATGAGTCATACTTATTCGAGCTCGCCTACCTACATTGTAACAGAACTCTGAAAGAACAGTTCGTGAGCAAAGGAGAGAACTTCAGTGCAGAAATCAAAGTGTACGAAACGAAGCTCACCCCCGAAATGATTGCCAGGTAGGCACTAACGCACAGACACTCACTATAGACACATCTGCAAGTGTGTATGTAATCATGTATACATGCGTATATATATATATTGTTTATGTTTATATTCATGTTTATGTGTATATGTATGTTTGTATCCTTGTATGTATATATATGTATGTATGTATGTAATATATATAGATATATATATATAGATACATAGATATTCAGATCTGTTCTATAAACATATGATATATTAGCATCGTATGTATCACATACGCATGTCATATCCATGAACAGTGGTGAATGGAGGAACAAAGAGCTTAAGCCGTATAACTTCCAGGCTAAAGGGGCGCCCTTGGCCTGTGGCCATTTACATCCGTTGCTGAAAGTGCGCACAGAGTTCCGCAACATCTTTCTGGAGATGGGCTTCTCCGAAATGCCTACAAACAACTATGTTGAGGTGTGTATGTGGTTATATTTTGATTCCTATAAATAATAGTATGTGTGTATGTGGTTATATTTTGATTCCTATATATAATGGTATGTGTGTAGGTACATGTCGTAGTATGAATGTGTACGTCAAAATGTGACTACATATGTGATATGTGTGTGTATGTATAGAATACGTATGTGTCTGTTTGTGTGCCCATTTGTGCACTTCCTATGTGGCCACCATAGTCAGAGACGACATCTGAGTTAGCAAATACATGTGAGCTAGTAACGTATGAGAGTCTCTGTTGTCACAGTTTTAAAAACCTCTACGCCTATATTCTGCTCGGACCTGATTGGCGCGTTCTTTGTTTCGTACCCATGTATCCTACATGATGTAAACTGAGTTTTTTTTTTCTGACTTGCTGGTATCTGGGGACACAGTCATCCTTCTGGAACTTCGACGCGCTTTTCCAGCCACAAGCACATCCCGCCAGAGACGCGCACGACACCTTCTTCATCAAAGGTCAGTATGTGCACACACACACACACTAAGACATACATGTCTGTTCTCATATATGCATATCTTGTTCATCAAAGGTCAGTATGTGCACATACACACACACTAAGACATACATGTCTGTTCTCGTATATGCATATCTTGTTCATCAAAGGTCAGTATGTACACACACATACACACCAAGACATACATGTCTGTACTTATATATGCATATATACTGGTACACACTTTCTCTTTCAACGGTGACATATACATACGCAGGCATGCAAGTCAGTTGTTACAAGAAGTGTATGTTTTACATACGCTAATATATGTATATTTATTTGGAATCGCCTTTTTCATCAACGATGATATATGCATACGACGGCATCTAGATCTGAAATTATGTATATCTATCACACACCCTCATCAAAGGTGAGTATGTGGTGACACCTTTGTCATCGACGGTGACATTTACATACGAAAATATCTAGGCTTGTTATTTCATGTAAGTGTATATATCGTACACACATACGTAGACATACAAGAGTGCGTTTATTTCCTCATGTGTTTGCAGTATCCTCCTTAGCCTAGAATGAGTTTGTTTCTCTCTCATAGCTTCGCTCGCGCAGGGTCAGGCCACGGCGTAGTTGCTGAGCAACGTCAAGTATATACCTACTTGTATTCACTCCAGGTACAAATACCTACCTCCCTGTGGTGTAGTGGAGTATAGCTCTGCGTGTATTCATTTTAATTATACACTCATGTGCATAGGTGGACATGACTGTATATGTCATGTAAAGGTGTATGTATGTCTGTATAACCTAAACCCCTGAACCTTAAACCACGTGTCTTTATTCCTATCAGTCTGCTGGGTTTGTGCACAGTGTCATGTGGTACTGTGATAATTATAGTAGTATATATTTTCGTTATTTTCGTGAAAGCGTTTTTCGCAGATATACTGTATGCACACTCTATTATACGTATATATATATATGTATGTATATACCTGTCTTAGTCATCCTGGCATGTACCTTTCGTAGCAGAACCTGCCAACTGTGCAACGATCTCAATCGATATATATATATATCCACACATATGTCTCATTTATTCTGCCTTGCACCTTCGTTTCAGATCCTGCCAACTGTGCAACGATCTCAATCGATATATATATATATATCCACACATATGTCTCATTTATTCTGCCTTGCACCTTCGTTTCAGATCCTGCCAACTGTGCAACCATCCCCGACGACTACATGGCCACGGTCAAAGCCACACATGAAGACGGAGGTGCGACTGGCTCTCAGGGCTATCGCACACCCTGGACCACAGAAGAGGCCAGGAAGAACATCATGCGCACACACACAACGGCTGTTAGTGCGCGAATGCTGAAGGTATGTATATGTGTGTGTCTGTGTCTGTGTGTGCGTGTGTTTACTGAGGTTGTTTTAAAATTTGGTGGTGTAAATTTGGCCTACTTTCTCATACACATAAATTCATGCGTGGTTTCCCGTTGTTATCTGCAGAAATTGGCTGACGACGGGTTTAAGCCCAGCAGAATGTTCAGTATCGACCGCGTGTTCCGAAACGAAACGCTGGACGCGACACATTTGGCCGAGTTTCATCAGGTGAGTGCTTACAACTGTGAACGGCATACAAAAGTAAAAGGAATTTCGAACACAAACATGTACGTGGAATGTCAACTCTGCAGAAAGGAATACACACGCTCTGTTATTCCTGTAGGGTTCATACTGTTTGATTCTACTATCAATGCGACCAACACCACTGCAGTCCTTTGTATATGTCTGCAACTGGAATGATGATATACCTACCAGGATATCCCTTGTTTCCATCTGCAACCATACTGATGATATACCTACCGGTGTTCTATTTATAGATCGAGGGTGTACTTGCAGGGGAGGACATTTCACTGGGTGGTCTCGTAGGTTTCCTTAATCAGTTCTTTGCCAAGGCGTTGGGTATGGACAAGCTGCGTTTCAAGCCAGCCTACAACCCGTACACTGAACCATCCATGGAGATCTTCGGTTACCACGAGGGCATGAAGAAATGGATTGAGATTGGTAACAGCGGTAAGTATGCGTGGATCTACATCTCTATCCAATGGTAAATACGCGAACACACTCATATATATATGTATGTATGTATATGTATATCAATATGTATCTGTATATTTGTATACATTTATATCTACATATATTTGTATATTTGTTTACATTTATATGTATATATATATATATATATGCCTGTGTCTGTGTCTGTATCTGTATCTGTATGGGTGTGCATTGAGATTGGCAGCAGTGGTGAGTGGTTGCTGCTGAGTCATAATATTTTGAGCCGTGTCTATGAACAAACGTAGAGATATGATAAGTAGAACCCGTCACGCACACGGAACACAGTCAGTGCCTGCAGCAGTGGACCTCTGCGCATTTGCGTTGTATTAGCTTATCCACATCAGTAACGCATGTCTCGCATACATGTGCCTTTCGTAGGCCAGGTGTGTGTTTACGGTCGAGTATCTATCTATCTGTAGGTTAACATTTACGCGTAACAAACTGACGATATTATTTCCCCCCCACACACACACACACACCATTCGTTTCATTTATATACGCGTTTTATTTTATAACAGGTATGTTCCGGCCCGAGATGTTAGAGCCCATGGGCTTACCCAAGGGTGTGGCGGTTCTAGGATTCGGACTGTCTCTGGAACGACCCACCATGATTAAGCTAGGACTAAATAATATCCGGGACCTCTTTGGCCATAAAGTGGACATGCAGATGGTTTACAATGCCCCCGCGTGTCGACTAGAGAAGTTCTGAGCTCAGCGCGAGAGGGACAGTGTAGGCGCATTAAGATAATTAAATTAAAGCAAGATGTTGCTGAACGCTAGCGTTTGAAACCGTCGTGAGTATTGTACTTCTTCACCCCATGTTATCAGGATATTACCTCTGTCGAGTCTATTTACTGTATATGGCACAGATTAGCTACCTACACCGCATACACGAGCTGAGTACCTTGGATGTTGAGATTGAAATGGGAAGGTCGCAATGTATGAGTCATCTGTAGTGGATATTTCTAAACCGTACATCTAGTATGAAATTGCGAATAGATTAGTAAGATTGGAGAAGCATACAATACAACGCTGCTTGCTCATGCTGTTGGGCGACCAGACCTCGTCGCCCCCACGCACTACTACAGAGACTGCTAGTAGTTCTGAGACGCTGTTTCCCATTGCTTACACTAGGAGATGTGTCGTATGTATGCATCTGTGACATTTACAAGATGTGTCGTAGCAGACACGCTCATTTTGCAGGGTACAAACACGTGCCGCATGGCGTTTATCAACAGTCGACTTTCTTTGGACTTATCAAAAGACCAATCGCTTTGGATTTATACGTCCACCCGAGCATGTCTCTCGAACCCCTGCGTCCAGCTCAGAATGCCCCAACGAGATTTCGGTTCTCGAACGGTATATAGAAGGTCAGTTGAAACTATGTCAGCTGATATGCACAGCGCAAAATTATAACGAGAACATTGTCATTCGAAAATAAAAAAATGCTGCTGGGAAGTTGTCGCATAATTTTTGAAAAAGAACAAATATCACATCTTTATATCAAGTATATCTGATTGTGTTCAATTTAGTGGACATTCTTTCACGTTATAAGGATATCTCTGAACTACATACATTGTTGGAGCCCCACTGCTTATACAGGAATCTGTTTTGGCGGACTAACTTGTTCCGAACATCCAGCACTACAATCGCTTTGCCACAACACTATATCATTTCAATAAATCAATATTGCAGTTACTGTATACTTGGGATATATAGTCAATCCGTAAAAATAAGCTATTTAGCACTTGTAGTTCGCCTCCATATGTTCTGTTTCCTTTCCACATTACGCGCAAAAAACAAAAAAACAATACAGAACAACAACGACTTTCCACCACAGCAGCCACGACTATCGCTTAATGCCATACCTTCTTGTTCTGCTGTGTAGTCCACCTCCACATATGCGCCATCGTCCCCTTCACCGCCACCACTGAACAATCTGTATTACCATAGTATGGTGTGTGTGTATTTAATTATGAAATGGTCAAACCCCTTTAAAGTTTGTTAATTATAGAAATAAAAGTTTCTATTATCCCAACAAAACCAAAAAAAATCAACGAAATCCGAACAAAAATAATAACAAAAGAAGGAGCAATACGTAGTTTCAATTCCTTTCTCGGAAGGGAGAAAGATGGGTTTAGGGTTTTAGGGTTTAGTTTTAAAGGTTTAGGGTTTAGGGTTTTAGGGTTTAGGGTTTAGTAGGGTTTAATCAAGTTTTTAAAAACTTAACAAGATAAAAAAGGGGACTTTCAAGTATCAGAGACGGATTTGATTGTAGGGGTAAAACTCGTTGACTTTATATCATGTTATCATAGATACAAAAAGCACAAATCACAGATGCGAGTATGTTAGATGTAAATGATACATTTAAATATTTCGGTTCAGATATTGGTATCGGTGATAAATATTTACAAAATGAATGTAGAGGTAATTTGAAGACGTCGAAGACAAGAGACATACTCAAATGAACTACTGAGCTACCATGTCATTTTTTTTAAGCAAAGAAATAACAGAGAGATTTGCCTTAATTTTTGTAAGGAATAGTAAGAAGGCCTGTTCCTGGTTTTGAGGGATTGAGAACTACCTGGTTTTGAGGGATTGAGAACTACCTGGTTTTGAGGGATTTAAAACTACGGATAGGAAACGAATTTGGGAACTAGGAATTAAGAAATATTCAGCTATTTTGGGGGCTCTAAGATTATTTCCAGTTCTTAATTATGAAATAAGAAATATAGTGCATAGTCCACATAATAAGAAATATACATACCGGCATCTTAAGAAATTTTAAGAAACGGTATTCTTACTAAGTTTCCGCGTGGCCTTCTGGCTGTAGTGTGAGTAGTGATGATGGGAGTCACGGGTCTGACACTCTGAGTCTCTGACACCGACGGCTCACGGCTTTTAGACTTATCTATTTACTGTATGATACTATAGTGATACATTCATTCTAATTGTTGTGGCATCAGTGTTGGTGTGTCAGTCGAATTGTAGATCAGAATGACAGAAAACAGTGACACCGAGACTGCCATCAACACCCCATCTGAAAAGGTCACCAGGAGACCGGGGAGCACGCAATCAAGTGTCAATAAATCAGCACTCAATGGCAAACAATCTATTAACGTCGATAGCACTTCACAGTATGATTGTTTTAGGGTTTTGGGGTTTTTTTCTGCCACAAAGTTCAGACTTTTAGAGGACGATTGCAATAAAGCCTATTGCAAATATTGTGGCAACGACAAAGTATACCTTTGAAATCGCAGATGCGCCAGTAATGCCGTATCACACTACGAGAAAAGGCACACAATGCAATGGTACGACGACCTTAGCAAAGGAGTATCGAAAATACACGAAAAGCAAGCTAAAAACGGACAGCAACAGAGTATAGTAGATTTTGGAACGGCTAGTAAACAGCCTCAACTAAGGTTCAAAACTTCCAAAAGACTGGCTGATTTACTTTGGGTGCACTGCGTATCCAAGAATGATCTACCTTTTGAATTGAGCAAAAAGCTAGAACTCGGGGCATGGTTAAATGCAGCAGTAGAAGTGCCAACCAATATCCAATCGCAGTACTATCCAGCAGGACCGAATACTATTAAAAAATATTTGCCAATTCTCGAGAAGGCCATTAAGAGGAACGCTTTGTCGCATTGGAGGGAGGCCGTTAGCTTTTATCGTGTACCATTTGCGGCACTAGAAAATGACGTTTGGAAGGATGCGACGGGGGTTAATTCTCTAGGCTCTATTATACACTGGACTACTCCTAACAAAGGAAAAGGCGAAGATAAGATCAGAATGTCTGTATTTCTGGATTTGAAGGAGATCGTAGGAAGATACACTGGCAAACATTTAGCTAAGTGGCAGCATGAAATCTTGAAGGAGTGGGGATTCTTGCAGCCGATAGATAACACAGCATTCCGAGTTGGTAAAGACGATGTACTATTGGAAATGAAGGACATCATTCATAGCGCTACGCCAGATAATGCATCGAACGTACAAAATGCTATAAAGAAATGCGCGAGTGTTGTTGTGGGCTGCTTAGCACATAGGGTAGCATTGGTACTGAAGAAAGATATTGACGGGATTCTTATAACCACCACAGACAAGATGCACAAAGTGTTTAACGATCATAAGGAAGGTCTACATACGGCAAAACTAAAAAAGCAAATTCAAGTTCTGGAGACGCTTCTAAACGTGGATGCAGAAGAAGTCATGTATAAGGTCAACGAGCCCGCATATGATAGCAAGCCAGTATATAACATGCTAAACTTCTGTGCTAAAAGATCAGCTTATGTGAATAGAAGAACCAAGGGGGCGGACTAGATGATAACTGCACAAGAAGCTCTGATGTACGATAAGATCAAGCGTGCGGTGGTCAATGGCGGTGTACGGTGGTCTGGGCTTTATGTCATGGTGAAGACTGATGACTATAATTGCCCTGCGATACAGTTTCTACTCGAAGACCCAACTGAGATAGTTGGCGAGTATGGTCTATGAGCCGACAAGGATGGGCAAGCACGCAGAGATAAATTTAAGCCAACCAGACAGATAAAACAGATGCGGAGAGAATTCCTCGCTAGTACTCGACCCTTGATGCAATGTCAGATTAACATACAGTCTGCTGAAGATAGCCTTGCCGATTCATGTGAACATGTACTAAACTGCAAGACGCTCTTGGGCGACGATGTCGAAATAGAAGTTGCCAAGAAGTCAGGACCAGACCCGGTGTATGAATTCCACAGCGAGGACGAATTAAGAAGCGAAATTCGGGCATATCGTATCAGGCTTCGGGAGAATTTGGCACATTATTTCCCACAAAAACCAAACATGGAATTCTTGGTTAAATACTTTTTGCATCCACTCCATAAAAATTTAGAAATCCTGAATTTCACAGTAGAGAATAGAGTCAAAATCTTTATTGAGATCAAACATGAGATCACCGAAAGGTGTGTAGTGGTACATGAGGCGACCAAAGTCTGGAGAAACACCTCGCAACGAAGGCGGCGGCGACAGACACATCGTCTACGGGATCAAGCGTGTCGACCGAGCCATGTACACCGGTGCAGATTAATAGCAGCGCGAAACGAACAGCGGAAGATCCATGTGATAGCGCAATACTCGTCGATTTCAACAAATTATCCCTTTTGAGCAAAAAGAGGCGACGTCTGCAAAAGAAGCAGCAGGTGGCGATGAGCCTGCACGAAGGATCGTCGCATCTTGAGTCTAGTACTGCTGCATTCCAGGTCAAGGTTAGGCGTGAGCTCAGCGCCTGGGAGGCTTTGCCGTGTCTTGAGCCTGAGGATGTGATTGTGCACGTGGGTAGAGATTTGGCAACCAAATCTGTATCGAAGTGAGTACATCCGAGTGTGCGAGCCGTTGAATATTGGCATACCATGAAAGAACAATTTTCCATTCTATACATGGTCACACTGATCTCTTTCAGTGTGCTGCCAACATCTTGCAAGTCGGAAAGCATATTCTTTTTGAGTGGAAACGTGCACGACAACAAGAGAAAAGCCTCGTTTACGGGTATGAATATCCATCTGAATAATCTCATATTTTTATTAACCTAATTTTCAATATTGTGTAACCATATTGATTATTACTGCACTAACTGTTAAACTGTAGGCTAGAGCCTGCAGGTCTGTAGCTTGTGAGCAGTGAGCACATCACCCTCAATTATACAAGAGAGTTATAAGTTGATAACTCGATATTCATAATCCAATACTACAATCTACATATAACATAATTACATATTACAGTACAAATACTTATCAGGTGAACAGTTTACAGTGATTGGTCTAAACCTTTTATTATTACCCTAAAGCATGTGCGGCACCATTTCCCAAATGTTACTGACCATAGCAAAGCTCACTATTAGCTGTTACTTGTAGCTTGCTAGCACTGGCACATGACTGGGATTTAAGAAATATGAAGGATTTTGTACATAATTTTGGAAAATAAATAAGAAAATTTATATCAATCGGAAAAAATCATAATCAAGAAATAAAGACTATGCGTAAGGATTTAATTACTAAGAACCAGTACTTAATAAGAAAGAAATCTAAATCTTAGAAAATAATTACGCAGCGAAAAAAAATGTATTTAAGTTTTGAAAACTGTCAAGATTAGGATAAGGAAATGTCGTATATTGGGTGTAAAACATGATTAAGGATTTCTCAATATAAATCATCCAAATACGCAATAAGAAAACGTAAACTTCGTTACATAATTATGACATGGTTGCTCAGAATTGAACTGTCGACACTTATATTAAACAGTTTCTAGTGAAATGTTGTGTGCAGGACAGTTTCAGGGTATGAATGAGCAATCCTTACTTCTGGAGTAGAAGTCTATTAATGGAGATTGGAGTAAAACAATTTGCTACTACTATTGATATTTTAGATAAGGAAGTATGTAGCAAACTCAGATAAGTAGAACATAAAACGGGTACATGAATGAACAGACGTTAGAGTCCTGATAGGTGCAGGTTATACTTGAACATAGTGGGAATTGACCTTAAGAAGGTCACGATTAGATAGCGTGAACCTAAGAAAGATATAAGTGCATCAACTCAAATGCAGTGACATTCTTACTGGTAAAGAAGATGTAAAAGACTGTTCATAACGATAGGATGAACAGTCCGACAGTGTAGAATAACGGACCACACCGCATGGGCCTTAGGGGGCAGAAAGGATGTAAGTTTAGGCAAGACTTATGTGTGAAATTAATTACATGATTAGTATAAGTGTGGACAACTCTGGTGTAGCACTTATCAGTGCTAGCAGGGTTTAGAACTTGTTATTTGAACAATTGAATTAAAAGGTTTTGTTGTACGTAATTTGGATTACGTCACGACTTTGTCCTTAATTTTTTTTATGGTGATGGACTGTCTGTATCTATTCTTATGAAATGGAAGCAACCGGGTAAAGGGATTGACGATTCTTATGTTGGAAGTTATTTCGTATATTGAAGAATGTATGAAAGAATAGTATGTTGAGAAATATTTGGTTCGGAGACAGTTTGAAACTATAAAGGTTGAGAATTTATAAGATGAAATATATGAGAAATACAATTTTAGACCTAATTGTAGTCGGATGGATTTACATTATCCATACCAGTAAAAGAAGATTGACGAAAATTGGTACATCGATTAGCAATTTTATAGTAAAGAGGAACTGGAATTGTTTGTGGAAGGGTAAGAAATTGATGAAAAGTACAAGACAACAGAATTATTGAAAATATAAAGTGAATTCTCTTGTACAAAACTTACGGAAGGTCTTTCGGAAAAGTAATTAGTAAGGTTGAAACGCTTATGAAGAAGAGATGAGCAATGAAATTATCTATATCTGGGATAAATAAATTAAATTTCTATCTGACAATACGGATTTGAATTAAAATAGTGATTTAGTTGGTTCTTATATATAGCTGAAGACAAAAGGGCGATTGCCAATTTCTGAGAATTTTTTGTCCCTGGATTTTTTTCAGAAATTAGTCAGCAATCTGGGTGAAAGGACAATTTCCATCTGCATACACAAGTCGTTTACCTGTGTATGTTATAAAGGTGGCGAATACGGTTTAAGGACAAAGAAGAATTTCTCTGAGCCTATACAATAGTTCACTAGAAGACCGGGGGGTTTTGTCCCTCCCTTTATGGAACCATGAATCGATCGACCAATCAGCACTTGAGCTCATTACCGCTCGTACACTAATTTTGAATATGTATATATTCAATTCCTCTTTACAATGTGTACTTAGCCAGGCTTAGTGCAAGTTAAAAGTAGATAACTATGTCGCAGGGGAAGGTGGCGATAGCTCAGGTAGTGAATTCGAATTGGAAGGTGAATATGACCCCACTAACAGCTCACTACAAGTGAATCAGAAGATGAGGGGGAGAATCAAGCGAGTGCAAGTGTGACGAAGGGAAGGAAGAAGAGGACACGGCCCAAAGCATCCAAAAGTAAGACTAAACCTAAAAAGCGACAACGGCGGTACGCCGAGAGCCATTTAACACGGAAGGAACTTATCAACCGCTAGCTCAGAGGTCTATGGAGCGTAACAGTAAGGAGACAGAAGCTAAACACGCCAGAGGTCAAGAAGAATATTGAATGTGGCTCCGCACTGAAGGTACAACTATCTGCCCAGTATACAGACCCAACCGCGAGGATGTCAGCGTTACATTAGTCGAAAAGTATTTAAGGTTTGTTGCCGACCGAGGCTGTAGTAAACACATCAAAATACGATACTAAAACCTACTCAGTCTCCCTGAGGCTCAGTGCGGTGTATTTATTCTTATATTTGATTGTCTACGTGGTCTATAAATATTTCACCTCGTGTGAATTAATTATAAACTAATTCTAACTCCACACTGATAGAGGTTTAAGGGGACTTTACTACAAGGCTACATGAAAAAAGGTAAATCTGTATGCCGATCCCATGCTCAAAATTATGCTCACAGATGTACCTTTGTAATTTAATAGTTGAAATATCAGCACTCTTTTTATACCTATCATTCCAGGAGAGAAACACATATATATGTTTCCGTCGCTACGTAACGTACTTTGGAGTTTGCATGATTTTGCAAGGATAGCAGGCGTAACAGGCAGTGCACTCGAAATTGCGGGGGCAAACTCGTTCTGAACTGGATATCAGAAGTAAACCGCTGTCCGAATGATGGGCACCGACACTAGCAGAGGATTCGACAAATTGTTAAGTCTATACGATATGAAACAACACAGACTAGTTGTCCACTGAATGCTAAATAATTTTTATTCAAATATATAATCAATCAGATAATGGCTGTACTTATAGGTTCCGGCTTATTTTTAATTAACGATTACCGTTGCTATCATAGTATTAATCAAGCATATGCCATTTTAGTAAATATTGCTATTACATGCAACATGCATTGCAGTAAGGAATATGTGGATGCATTGTGCGGCGCACAAGTTTCTATCCCGTGGAAAATGTTGGCCTTGTACAGGATATCGACTGTCTTGCGGCCGTTTACAATCAAGGAAATGCCAATGGGGTAAGACTGCTGTAATCTGTGTATCCCATCAGCTACAAGTTGAAGAGTGTGGATTCTTACTAGCTTGTTCCAATTTGTTATATAAATATAATTTTTGTTTTGGCGTCTTTCAGAACAGCGTCGTAGAATTAGTTAATTGCTATCGCGATCAAGATGTATTCATATGCGCTTGGACATCCTTGTCCATGCTTCTGTTAGAAAGGTTTGAGATCAATGGATGCACCATTAATCCTAATACGGAGACTTGGGAAAGGAATTTTCAGTACCTGGTGATAGAGCAAACGATCGCAATTACATGAAGGTGTGATAGACTTGCATGCAGGTGCGTTGTATTTAAAATATATATTGCGGTTCACTTGAGTTTTGAAATATTATTCACAGAGTACCTCACACATATATAAATAGGCAATGAGCGCGAGTAAACATCAGACTATGGTGAAGGAGGCCCTGCAGGAAGTCGACATTGCCTGATTACTAGGCAACAAGAGTACACATGTCTGTTGAGGACTAGCCCGTATAGCAAAGTAAGTACTGTTTTCTTATAGGTCTGCGCTGAAATAAAAAGCTACTGCCTGATCATTGTACACATTTATTATATGTATTTATTTAGGCAGTACGGAGCCCCAATCGACGAAGTGAAGGCCCTCGGCAAGTGGTCGCTAGATGTTTTACAATGTAGTAAGTGTACGCTAGATAACTGTATCTCAACGTTCTCCTTCCGTAGAGAGGGAGACGTTGTTCATTTATTAGTAATTGTAACATTAGTGACTCTAAAAGTGAGTCATAAGTCATGTGCTGTAATAGACAGCAAAAACCAAGTTTATCAGATTATTATGATAAACTGTAAAAGCTATAATAACTAAAATAAACAACTAAAACCTAAGTACTTGTATTCTGACCACAACCCCCCCAAACTGAAGCACTGACCGAAAAGCAGTGTGCCAGGTTTAGAGATAGTGAGGAATACCCAAGTAACTTAGTTGCTGGCATTTAACCTCTGAGAGCTAGAGGGCATGACGATCACGGTTCGAGCGCACCGTCCTACCGAGTAGGTATATCTGAAGATAAATTTATTTATTTTGGATTTGGGCACGTTGGCGTTTACGTGTCCGTGTCTGCGAGGCTTTGTGGTAGGCCGCGATATCGTTGGCATCATCAAAAGCCTCCGATGTTTCCCACGTTGGATCGCCTTCACGCCATCGCACCAAGTATTCCAATTTCCCTGTTTCATCATTCGTAAGGTGTGTAATAATGTGGCGAAACTCAACACCTCCTTCTGTCCACAATTCGTCGTTAAGTGGTGGGTCTGTGCGCCTATGCACTAGCCGTAGGAGTTCCACCCGTACCGGTTTGTGATTGAATTCTGGAGGGGCGGATCCGTCTTTATTCGCTAACTCGTATCGTTGTCCTATCCTGGCCTTCACCACATACGGCCCAAACAGTGGCCGCATTGCCTTAGTTGTTCTACCCTCCGATCGTACCATAACCACATCGCCGTCGTCGAAATGGACCAAGTCATGAGCGTGCAGGCGGTCAAATGTCTTCGTAAATTTTCCTGTATACTTCTTGGTAATGTGGTGGATAGTTAGCAGTACGGTATCCTGCAACTGGTCTAACCGTTGTGCCTAGGGGTCGTTCGTCATCGGTTGGGTATCCGGTAAGTCATCAGTGAAGTCGAGTCCGCAAATGGTACATGACGGCGACCAAAATATACACTGAACGGCGCGCTCTTGTGACGTCGGGATATCCGAAGGTTCTGATAGAGCATCGTAAACGAAAGGCGTTCGTCCCATCGTAGAGGAACTGCCTCACAGCATTGTCGAATGGAACGTGTAGTCTCTTTATGACGGTGTTCAGCAGCACCCAGTACTTGGGGTCGATATGGCGGTTACACCCTGTGTAGCATACCCACTTCTTGGACCAGTAGCTCCACTATCTTGTTAGAGAATTCATTCCCCGTGTCCATCTGAATCATACGTGGAAAACCATGCTCGCCAAAAACTTATATTAGTGTCTGTGCCGTCGTCTCCTTCGTCTTGTCCGGTGTCGCTCGAAGGATTGAGTAGCCTGTAGCAATGTCCAGGACGTGAAGTATATAATTGTTCTTTCGTCTGGACTCAAGTGGCATCGGGATATAGTCGATTTGAATATGGTCCCCCGGGTAGCGCGCGTCAATGCTAATCATCGGGTGGAAATTTTACGAAGCGTATCATGTCCCAAACATGTAGCGCACTGCCGTTTGACTTCCGTCGCTAACTCAAGTGCGCCCGGCCACACATGACCGTTCTGACGGAGTTGTTGAACTGTATAAGCCGCACCATGATGTCCTTGTTCGTGGTGCGCTTGTATGAGTCGCGTACGGCGTTGTTGTTCTTCTGGCGTCGCCCGCTCAAATGCCGGTTGACCTTCTGCATCCGCCATTGCCACCGAGATCTCTCGCACGGTATCTAAACACACTACGTACGCTGTGTGTTTTGGTTCTGCATACCCAAGTCGCTGTGAAAACAGCGGGTCCAGTTTGAACCCGTAAGGGGGTCCCACTCGTGCAATCACTGTGTGTCCCCATGGCGTCTTACCACAGGCATACTTAGCGTACTTGAGGAACGTGTGTGGCGTTCGTGGGACCATCACTGGCTCTGACTGAAACAACTGTTTGAACAGGTCAAACCATGGTGCCCTTGGTACCCATGGTAGACAAACAGTTGCCCGCGCCCCATCATTTCGTATCTTGCGCAACATTCTATGTATCTGCTCCCAAGGTGAGTTCATCCATCCATCGACTGTCGACCAGTCGTGGGCAAACGCCCCTTCCCCATCGTCTTTAGTCCAAAATCGAGGAAGCTGAGCGTTAGTTGGGACCGCAAATACATCTATATCATTCGGACCGAAGTGTTGTTGCGCTTATTCAAAGTAACTAGGGAATAACTGCCAACAGTCTGTGTACAGTATTTCAGGTTCGTCCTGCTCCGCTGTCCCCTTGTGTACTCTGCTCAACATGTCCGAAAGCACGTTCGTCTCTCCTGGTATATGCGATATGGTAAGGTTGAACGGTGCTATAATATGGTGCCATCTCTGGAGCATCGGATTAAGCTTGAGCTGTGTATTCATATACACCAGGGCCTTGTGGTCGGTAAAGACTGCAAACTGTTGCCCATCCAAATGCTCCCTAAAAAGTGCAAGCCCATACACCAAAGCTAGTAACTCCTTCATTGGTGTAGCGTAGTTCTGTTGCGCATGGTTCAGAGTCTTGGTAAAGAACATTAAATAGTGTTTCTTCCCGTCGACCCATTGGAATAGCGCTTCCCCCAAACCGTAATCGCTAGCGTCGGTTTCCAAGTTCAATGGTATACTGTCGACCGGAAAGTGCAACGCTACTGCATTAACAACTGCGTCCTTCATCGCCTGCCACGCCTGTGCATGTCTCTCCTCCCATCGATCGCCGATCAACTCCTTCGGTTTGAGTTTGCAAAATTCGCGCACAGGTGCGACCGTATTCGCGAAGTAGGGGAGGTGCTCGTAAAGATAATTTGCCAAACCCAATGCGGAGGCTATATCTTTGTACCGTAGAGGGGTAGGCCAGTCGATAAGCTTGGCCTGCTTCTCATGGTCAATATCCATGCCTTGTGCCGACACTTTCTTCCCTAGGATCATCACTTCGGGAATAGCGAAGTGGCACTTGGCGGGGTTAAGCTTAAAACTGTGGTATGTTAAGCGTTGAATCACCTTCTGCACCGTCCTAATGTGTTCGTCATAGTCGTCGCTAGCGATAACTATGTCGTCGATATAGTGGTGGACCGGTAAGCCGTCAAGTATCGTGCTCAAGGTGCGTTGGAACTGTTGCGCGAGCACATGGAGTCCGAACGGTGCCGATGTAAACGAGTACTGATAACGCTCGTGCGTAAAACTAAATAAGTTTTGTGAATCTGGATGGATCGGCAGCCTGTGGTATGCAGCAGGTATGTCCAGCATAGTGTAGTACTTCCTACTCTTGAGGCGAGAGATAAGTTCATTGTCCTTGGGGATCAAAAACTGGTCACCAGGGATAAGCACGTTAACGGTGCGCATATCTAAACACACGCGTACCTTCTTTACGTTTCCTTCCGCATCGAACGTCGGGACTGCAAGGAGAGGGAGGTTAACGGTTGTCGGTGTCGTCCGTTTTGTAATCACCGAATCCGTCAACCACTTCTTCACTTGTTTATCCACGTAGGGTAGCCATCGGTCGGCTACAAAGTTACGCGTCGATCTGCGCATATGCATCGCCTGTTCACGGGTTATTGGAATGGTAACTTCACTCCCTTCCAGCCGACATCGTGCGTTGTCAGCAATCATCGCATTTGCCTCTAAATCCTGTGCCAATCGTTGGCGTACATCGGCGGGTTCCGTCGTGTTCGGTGCTTGTCGGCGTGGGATGGGTTCGAGAAGCTCATCTAGCTCCGTGGGGTCTATTGGTGCAAGTGGCGATTGGATACCGCCTATGTATAGACCCAATCCTGTCAACATATCTTGCCCCACTATGATATCTATACCTGCAGGTAAATTCATCAATTCCAGTGACCCGACGATAATATTGGTTCCATACCTAATGGGTACCACTTCCGTCGTCCCCAGTTGAGGGGTTCGAACCGCCTTGTCAGCTAAATAGATGAATGACCCAGGTGGTGCTGGAGTTATTGAGCGGCCGAGGAGGTCTGCGGATGTCTGTGAGATACAACTTCTGTTTGCTCCCGTGTCTATCAAGGCTTTGAACATACGTCCGTTGACCTGCACTTGAATACAAACTCGATTATCAGAAGAAAGCAATGGGTCCTGTATCGCCATCACTGCTCTAATAGTGTTAACAAATGTGAAGCTCATATCCGACTCAGACACCCTCATATCTCAAGCGCGATCGGCTACGGACTCCAATGCCCCGTGGGCGTGGTCTGGCTCCGGTGTCATCTGCTCGAAGTCTTCCGTAATTATCGTGTTGATGTGTACCTCTGTAGCTTCCGAGGGTGATACCAGGCCGTCGTCCTGTGTAATCGCATTCACCTGTACTTGAGGAGTCGGACGCGTAGTTATCGAATCTCTACTCTGGGTAGTGTTCTGCCCCTGTCCTGAGGTTGATGCTGTGGTCGGTCTGTGTGCCGATTGTACGTCTCTCGATGTGCGGTTGTTGTCGTATGGCCTTGCTCGACCATTCGTACCCCCTGGTTGCGACGCCCGGAAATGATGACATCGCGGAATATGTCGTGAACCTGGTGGTGCTTGTGCCTGACATCCAGCACAAGTCGTAGGTAGTGACGGTTGGAGACGTTGAGTCCAGTTCTGCGACTGTCGTCGAACCGTCTGCGGGTTAGGGCGGCTATTGGTAGTCTCGTCCCCATTGTTCGGTAGACCCTCGCGATTATTACGGTTCTGGAGTCGCGCCGTCTTACGCTGCTGTGCGTCCTGAATGTCGAGGCTCAACAGCTGTAGAAGCTCGTGCGTCTTCATCAATTGCCATTTGGGATGCAGTTGTAGAGTACGTTCATACGTCCGGCGGTTGAGAGCTTCCTCTAACAGCTGTACGATGCAGTGGTTTAATAAATTCTGTTGGAAGTCTGTATCCGTCTGGCACCGTTCACGTGCCCTCCTATGGTTCTCCATGAGCTGCGTCATTTGCCTCATAATAGGGGTGTGCATGTTCCGACTGTGGCCCTTGGCTAACTTGCGAAGCGCGGGATCGACAGTGGCCTGTGTCTCATGCGAGCAGATCTGTTCGATTTATAGCTGTGGCGTCCACACCTTCAAACGTTCAGAGTTGTCGCGGATGTAGTCTAATGTTGACTTCTCCACCTTGAAGTAAGATAATACTTTATGGAACCATGTAAGGCTCCAACTCTCATCTAACCCTGCGATTTGCGCGTTCTTAAACGCCTCAAGGAGAGCCCCTCTCGTATCCCGTTCCATGATATCGTGTAGGTGGGGTTGTACGTGGTGATGGTACGGGACGCTTTTCCACTGGACGGGACTCTAGCGTAGCTCGAAAAGTTTCGATAGCACCCCTAAGAGCTTCAGCTCGGGCCGTATTATTATCCTCGATTGCCTGGCATAGTTCGTCGCTCAAATGTAGTATCCGTGCATGTAGTGCTTGTCGGCTTTTCTCAATACTAGCCGGTGTGGGTGGAGGTACAGGTGTGTCCTTCTCCTGCCGCTTGGGTGTCTGTACATACTCCCTGGCTGCTTCCTTTGTTGGCGAAAGTTCGCACTTAGCCGATCCTGCATGTTCTTCAATGCCTCACTCCCGTGGGGGTTCTGCTTGGCTAATACCTGTTCGCGTGCGAACTCCTGGAAAGATGGTGTGTCCTCAATAGAAGACAGAGTCTCCTCCCCCTCGGTCGATCGGTCCTTTGACCCGGGTGATTCGTACCCGAGTCTATGGTGCGGACGTGTACGACCTTGTATACGGAAAACAGGGCTGTACTTACTTCCTAGCGATGTATGCACCCGTTCGTGTGTGCCAGTAGCATTCTCGGTGGCAGCCAACTCAATTGTAGGCCGCCCGGTAGTTGTACGCTGCAACCTCTGTTCATACTTTTCTAAGAGTGACTGCTGTTTAGCCATTAGCTCAGTAAGTTTCTGAGCGGGCGATTGGTCCCGTACCGTGTCTGTTAGAGTGTAAGATGGTAGTATTTGAATAAAGCGTAATAGTATATCTTTATTTACAACCTCACCTTTGGTTTTATACTCAAGGTGTTTGTGCTAGTGTTCAACCGCTTGGGTTGGCCAGGGTGAAAACTCATATGGTCAGTATGAGAAACCTTTTGCAGAACACTTTAACACTTAGATATTGTTCTATAGCATAATCTCTGCTACTCGCTCTTACGCCGATCAATTAATGTTGCTTGGCTTTCAGAGAAATTCTCTCCTAGGTATCGGCTTTCGGAGCAATACTCTCATAGGAACTAATGTATTATTGACATGATGTGGTTAATAATTTGATCCGCTTTTCGGAGTGACGCAACTCTTGTGATTTCATTCAAGAAAAAGAGTTTTCTTGCTATTGAAGCTTGCTTGAGATCTGTAGTCTCTCAGTGTCCTTGTTGTTGGTGCGACGACGGTAGCGTCTACGTTTGTTAGGTAGAAGGCGTGGTTGGTCATTACTGGAGGATAAGGCCCCTGAAGTACCCGAAGACGAACGGGGGGACAGACCATTACTGGCTACAGGTTCACCAGTAGTGGTCGGACTCCGGTCCGCACGCAGGTCGGGAACTCCCTTGGTCTCACCCTCGAAGACAACGTCGTCTCCTGAATGGACAGGTTCATCTTCGTGTGTCGGCGGTGACTGCTTGTCGTCAGCGGAAACAGGGTGTAGAACCTCTAGACGTGCCTGTTGTTGCCCCCTCAGAGCTTGTCCTGGGTGTGGATCAGAGCGGTCCGGATTAGATTGACGATGCTTAGTCCCACGTCGGTCAATATCATTTTCTTTGCGACGCTCAGGGTCCAGGTGTTGTTGTCTACGACTTTGGCGGGGATTGGACATGGTCGGGGAAGTATGTTTCAACGGAGAACTTGAAATGTATGCGAACGGACTCGGAGGGAACTGAATATAAATACCCATTTCCTAACAAGAGTCCATCCCTCAAACACATAATGTCTCGACGATGAACCTCGAGGAACCAATGGGCTCACTCGTGATTACTTTATTTCACTTACAGACCCTAGTTGTATAGAGAGTCGAGACTCATCTAACACTAACTGATGTCTTACTCTCCTTCGAATAAATACCTCGTTGAGGTATACCCCGCTTGTCGGAACATCCCTTCAACCTTCTCGTCGGCTGCTCCTGCTCCGACATGGGGTCAGCCTAGCCCCGGTACATCGTCGCGTACTCTATCTATCTCTCCTGATTGCTCTTCTTACTCACCTGACTTCGTGTCCTCTACTGGTGATGGCCTTGTCGTGTGCCATTGCGGTTGTTGGGTTGTGTTCCTCGACCTATGACAAATTGTTAGTTGTTGCGCTCCTAAACTACGCTGCAGCAAGCAACGCCCTCTGTGCGTGCTTCTGAGCCTCTCCGTTTACCTGATTTATCTGGAAGTTGTAGCGATTTGTGTGTGTTTGCATATCATTTTCACAATTTAACCATGTACTACTTACACCGCTCGTGTTATTTACGCCCCTCACCCTTATGTGCTCCTAAAGAGGCTCACGGATGCTTACTTATGTCTCTGTGTTCTTCCCTATATCCTCTTCCATCGACCAATCTTATCTAATTCACCCTTTGTGCAATTCTGGTCGTAGTTGACTTCACTTGGATAGTTATATCTTCTCAACTTTGTCGCTGCCTATTGTAGCCAAATCTTGAGTAAATTATTCTAAATGAACACTCTTGTCTATTCGTCTATAAGTTGTAAACCCAATAAATAATCCTTTCAGAACCCTAACTCATACTTCGTTGCATATGGGTGCCATTAGGTACATGTCTTGCCATTCAATTTCCTATTTCTTAAATCATCGGTCTGCCCACGTCCTTGGTACACATTATGCATTCCTTTTGACGTGTTGCCTGATATATATTTACCGCTGTGTCTTTTACCTATCCCATCCTTAATACTTGTTGTAGTTGTGTTTTGGTCATTGCTTAGTACCTATGATCTTCAGCATCGACTGTTTGTGTACACTGCTTTGTCAACTGACGTGTGCACTGCGTAACCTTGTCTGCTCTATGTGAAAACTAAGTACCAGTTCGTATAACTCAAACTCTAATATTATTGTAACTTTGTAAAATAATATAGTATGCTACTGATTCTTTGTGTCGTAGTACTAGACGAGTCGGCACTAACCATGTACACCTCCCATTTCTACTACTGTAGATCCCAAAGAGCCTTCTTCTTTTCTTCTAACAACTCTTAACTATAGTTTAAGCTTATTGCTACTTGCACACTCTATTTGTACTTGTCTCACACGAAAACAACCTTCCTACCTGCTCTCACACGTGACTACTTATCTGTGTTTTCTGGCTGATTCTCTGTTTTCGTCATTTGATCGTCTTGGGACCTTCCTTGTTGTCCCTAGGTTAATGATGTACTTGAGTGCGATGGTCCCTTCTCGGTTTCGCTCGTATTAGTAGATTCTATCATTGTACTTGTTATCCAAACGTCTTTAGTACGACGACCAGATAATCTAAATCGTTCAAGATGTCGAGCCATGTTGTATCTGTTGATTCTAAATCTCCTTTCTTCCACTTCATCGATCGTAGGTAGTTCTCCACGGCCATTCCCATGGTCCTCCGGTCTCAAGTCTTCTTCCGCCTCACTGCTGCTGCTTAATGGAGGCATCGTATTGCTAGCATCACTACTCGAGAACCCAATATCTCCTTCGTTAGGCAAATTTTGGATGATCTCGTCATTTTGATACGACATTCTTTGTTCTTAATGTTTTTCAATTGCTATACTTGTAACAAAAAAATGTATGCTAGCTACCGACTAATTCTTATCCCGTAGCTTTTCCTATAATTACTAATAAAATAACAACTTCTATGGTAAGTTAAAAATGTAGTAGGGTGTACGCTAGATAACTGTATCTCAACGTTCTCCTTCCGTAGAGAGGGAGACGTTGTTTATTTATTAGTAATTGTAACATTAGTGACTCTAAAAGTGAGACATAAGTCATGTGCTGTAACAGTCAGCAAAAACCAAGTTTATCAGATTATTATAATAAACTGTAAAAACTATAATAACTAAAATAAACAACTAAAACCTAGGTACTTGTATTCTGACCACAACAATTATATTACCTGAAGGATCTACCACGGGGCGGTATGTGCGCTTTGTCCGGAGTACATGCATCCCGTATGAGTACTCTATATTTATTCTGAAGGGACGATGAAAAGGGCCGACATACTCAAAGTATTGAAAGATAAATAAGCGTGTTACTAGTTAATTCGTCTAGTGAAATCAATGACCATTCCTGTAGGGTTTTTTGTAACACCTTTCCATTGGTATATACTCTCACAGATTTGCCTATCTTCAATGGTCGATGGTCTGCGGCCGAAACAGAGAAGAAAGGTCCCAGACATGGACGCTATAAAATTTGATAAGATTCTGGTTCGGTTTAGAAGTACACTACCTGAAGATCTGCCATATATCCAAAAGTGAATATTCACGTATGACCAGTTTGAACAATTCACTTTTAGTGTCTGTACGCACAATATTATGAATTTGCTCACCAACACTATTTTACTTCACAGATATAAGGATATTTCAACATTAAATATTTAAGATGGAAGAGTGGACGAAAACTAGATAACTCTGATAATTGTCATGTCGATTTGCAACAACACCATCACTTATGTATGTTGTCTTTTCATTTTGTATGTGCACAAGTCATACTTGTATGCCTGT